TATATATATATATATGTATATACATATACATATACATGGAATAAATACCATTTTACTCCCTGACTCTAAATAAAAACCTAATTAACACGTTAACTGCCATCTGTTGCACCAGCGGTCGTATGGCGTACGGTCGTACAGTGCCATCTGACTGCCTGCCGTCAATTAAACAATGTAGTTTCACTCAAGGTTAAATTATCCTGGCTTCATAAGATGTTTTACTGCATGCTAGTGGTGGCCTCTCGTGGATGTCTATGCACTTGGCTTGGAACACCGGTGGTCGGATGGCCAGAGCGTCCCTTAGCTATGACCATCGGTGCATCGTATGGCCTCATGAAGTGTTTCAAGGTCAGCGATTGTAGTTTTTTTTTAAATAAAAATCTATTTTATATCTGATAGTGGTTTATTTTAATAGTAAATAGTTTAAGATACAAAATTTAACTTTTATAAATTGCTACATGTATTACAAATTTACAGATTTAAAATCACTTATTACTCATGGTAATTTTAAATCTGGCAAATAAAAGATGAATTGTAGATGACTTAACTGTTATTTATAGCTGATTGATTATTGAGATGGCAGAAGTATAAGATATTGTGAGAATGGGGTTGACTCCTGCATACCTTCCATCTCACTGAGGATGGCTGTTAAAATATTGAAAGTTGATAATTATCCCTCAACTCTCTCCAATTATTATCAAGATTCCTAACACAGCTTAGTCTGGTTTGTGAATTAAGATGCAAAAGTAAACTTGTGTTACCAGGATTTAAGGATAGTTTAAACTAATATGTAAGTTAAATGAGTTACGAGAAATTCGTGAATTACATGGCCCAAAGATGGAGTTAGGCATTAATCAAAATGTATTAAAATATAACTATATTTATTATATGGGATTGTACATAAAAGAAAAATCTTAGACTATACAAGAATAAAATAATTGGGTTCAACAATTATACAAGTTTTGTGTAAAGTAATAATAGAATGATAGAATGTTGATACTCTCCATTTATAAGCAAAAAAAAATCTCTTTGCATTTAGAAATTAATTATAAAATGTTTCTGTATTTTATGTTTATATAATACAGTAGAGCATTGATTATCCAACTCCCGATCAACCGTCACATCAGTTAATCGACCGTGTTCTAGTCGGCAAATTCAAATGTCCGCTTGTGATGTGGCACTACAATATTTGGCTAGTTTAATATTATTTTTGTTAAATTTTTGGTATTTTAGCTAGCAACACTGGCTCGACCATGAAAGGGAGGCCAGTATTTAAATGAGGCTTAATTTTCTAATTATGAATGGTTGTTTTGTGAGCAATAAAATAATTTAAAAATAATTTTTAACAATACAATAGCGATGATTATTATTTTTAAAAAAATTTTGTTAGGATTAACATCGATGAAAATTCAATGTGAAGTAGGTTAATTGCAATATACTAATATCCTAATTATATGGGATATACTGATATACTAATATACTATACTAATAATGTATTTTTCCATACTTTTCAGTTATCTGACCAACCCCAGTCCTCAATTGAGTCGGATAATTGATGCTCTACTGTAGCTCAAAATAGAAATATAATAGCTGAAAATAAAAATAGCTTAACATCAATTTATGTTCATTTTGTATTTTTGAAATAATAATGTGAGGAAATTTCAAAAAGTATTGCTTTTCTTTTCTATTGCATTTATTTTAATTCAGATTTTAAAGAAGAACAGGGCCATATAATTTGTGAGGTTTGCTGATTGGGGAGAAAGTGTCACGGCAATCGAGTGATCAGCATTGTCGTGTGGGAGTGGAAAAACTCATTGAGACAGGTTCTCCATCGTAAAGCGTTTAATAAATATAAAAATTTCTCTTACAACAAATCCTTAAAAAGGCATAACACCTATCCAAAGTCAAGAAACAAGTCTATAACACAAAAAGTTCAACTGTTCTGATGGTAGTTTTTCTTCCGGTGATGGTGGCATGAAGATGTTGGTTCCAGGATGCACAACACTACTTGGACCAAGGTCTTCTAGCTACAAGGTAGACTTTAGCGATCTTGATGACATGGGAGGGTGAAGACAAGTCCGAATATCTAACAAACTCTTGTAGGAGAATGTCCGGATGACAAGAATCTTGGAGAGGAGCACTGTGAACCAAGAACGTCGCATCCTTTTTTTGCGCGGTTTTTATACGTTTCTTTTGGGTCCTAGACTGAGCATTCCGATAGGTCGATGCTGGTTTGCCACCGCTCTCCAATTGGTCCCCCCTCTTCGTTACGAATTGTAAAGAAATTATAACCCAGATCATGGGATGAGTCAACACTGACTGACAATTCGATTCCTATCGAAGATGTTCGATCTAAGCACTCAAATTCATCTATTGTTTTAATCTGAGTAATTTGATTTTCTTAGAAATTTCTACAGACATGTCCTTATATGGACATAAAATATTCATTTTTCATTTGATGGTTTTTTTACAACATTATAATAATAATTATTATTATTTCCTTCTATACAAAAATTAGAAAAAAAATTTCTTTTTTTGCACAAATTCTAGGCCCACTTCTGAAGCTTCACATAATTCACACTTATTCTCTTCCGTAATGTTTTTCAACAGATACTGATATCTCGCAAGCAAGCAATATAGGTTGGATGAAAATGGCATCTCTATCAGATTATCCACTACAGAGAAATAGAGATGTGGTATAATTATTTTTTTAAACAAAAGGACAAAAATGATCACAAATTCATGCCAAAATATTGGAAATGTATTCCAAAGATTATGTGAATTATTCCAACATTTGACAATAGTGCAAAATGTCAGACAAGTGTGAACAAGCTTATGCAATGAGCAGTGATCTGGCCTCAAGCACAGAAGGTTGTAGAAAAAGTTTCAGCCTATGGTTAGAAACTTTTACATCCTCATTATAACTCTGACCTAGTACTTAGAGATTACCACCTATTTTGTACAAAGAAAAAATCCTTAATGAGAAGTGGCTTCAAACAGACAAACTGAATTTGGCATTCAACTCTCAAAAAACACTTGGGAAACTGGTACTTTTAACCTTGTGATGCATTAGGATAAATGCATAAATGTTTATGGCTCTTACTTAGAAAATAAATCTATACTTATATTTTGTTTTGTATATTCAATTTGAATAAAATGCATTATTTGAAAAAATTTAAAAGGTGGTACTTTTCAAAACACCCTCATTGTTTGAATTCGGTTATTAACAGATTTATAATTTGAAGAACTTAATTTAAATATGTATTTTAATTTATTTCTTCAAATTATTAACAGGTTTATAATTTGAAGAACTTAATTTAAATATGTATTTTAATTTATAGGATGTTTTATTTGATACGTTAATGTATTACGGATATTACTGGAATGGAACAATTGGTGCAATATCATACAGTATGCCAGAAGCATATATTTTCAGCATGACATTTTATTTTATTTTCTGGCTCATAGCTTCAGCTTATAGGTAAAGTAAATTTACATTGATAGTTTACTGAATATTACCTAAAGTGAGTTTTAATTAAATCTTATTTAAAAATTACAGGTCTTGCTCATGCATATCAAAATAGTTTTGTAGAAATGTTTGGAAGATCTAGAAATTTATATTCAAATAAAATATTTTGTGGATGGAATTTTACTTTAGAAACTGCAGAAGCTGCAAGATTAAAATCTAGAAGTATCTATAACAATTTATTAGTAAGTATGAAAATTTAATTTATTAATCAATTGTAAGTTTATTATTTTTATGAAATTTATTTGAAGCGGTTTAATATGAATGATTAGAAATAGATAATCAAAAGAAATTTTTTATGTTAGTAACTTTAACTTTATCTCTTTCCAATCAAGGTATCAAAAAAGACTAAGTAATTTTTTATTTAAATTGTGTTTGGAACTGAAGTTCTCAGTTTTTACATTTAATACTAGAAGTATTCATAAATACAAAAAGTATACAAATACAAAATAGTTGAACCAAAGTGAGATGCTAGATTATAATTTCGTATTGTATTTGTGGCATTTTTAATTGCATGCAAAAGTAACTGTTATGAAATTTTAATATCTCAAAATATTCTTTATTTTTATTACATCTGAGCTTTAATTGGTAATAGAAAGTTCTTTAAACTTGTATTTGTTTTTTTAGACACTAAATATTTTTAACATTTAAATATTAATTTTTAATATTATTGTTAAAGATATATAGAAATATTATTATTATTACTATTTTAATAACAATAATTTTTTACATTATACTAAAGCTCTGCTCCTGATGTCTTTATTAACCCAATTCTGATTTTTAATTTTTCTTTACATAACCAATGCTTTTCATAATATATAATTATTTGTAAACATTATAAGCTTTATATGCATAAATTTAAATAATTGTAAATAATAATTAAAAAAACAAATAGCCAGTAGTAAGACAGAAGAAAATGTATTTTAAAATAGCACAAGCAAATTAACAAATTATAAACTTTTTCAGAAATAGACAAACAAGACAATTTTTTTTATCTTTTTCTTTTTTATATAGTTCTAATTATATATATTTAACAACAATGATATTCATTGCTTTCTAAATTATATTAACATATTGTAATATTTAACTTTTGAAAAGTATTAAGAACATGTAACATGGTTTAAAAAATAAAGGTAAAATAAATATTTTTCTAGTTCAAATTTATTTTACGTATAAGATTTTAATTATAAAAATATTTATTTTGTATATATTTAATTATAAAATATATATTTGGTTGTTATAATAAATTTCATTTAATTTATATCAAGAGAAAAAATCATGAATTTAAGTTCACTTAATTATAGGTATTATTGATCAGTTTTAATTTGTGACTTTTGCTAATGTTAATTTTTAGTTTCTTATAATTAATAGCCTATTGACAGAAAAAGATAGTATATTTCTACCAAATACTTGGTACTTCTACAAGGTGGATTGTTTGATCAACTCATTGAAAACTTTAACACCAGCAGGCATTTATCATCGTTCATGTATATGTGGACAAATATTTTCAACTTAATTACAGGTCTATTTTTATCCTGGTCTACTTTGGACTTTGTTTATTAATAGAACTTATTACACTGGTATAGTTTCTGTATAGCAAAGAGAGGAGAACTTGGTCAGAAAAATCAAAACAAAATATCTTAATTTTCACCTGAGAATGAGAGTTTAAAATCAATAAAAGTAAGGACATAGAGGCAAAAAGAATTAATTATAAGTCTGTTTTAGGTCTTAAACCTTTTGTTCTATTTTGGAATTTCGGGAAGAGCAATATAGTATTTCAGACTTTGGAATGAATTATGGTGAAATCCAAAATTATGTTCACTGTTCTTAGTATAAATATTTACATATTTAAATCGATGTTATACAAATTTACATAGGCTGTACTGTACATATATGTTTTCTTAATTAATAAGATCCATTTTCTTGGTTCCCATTTGGATCATCATAAAATATTTGACAGGCACTTGAAATCTTTACCTCCTCCTCACAAATGAGGCATTCTCTTCTCAATCACGCTTTGTAAATCACTAGAGCTTCCATTACTTTAGCATGCTCTGCATGAATGGTGTGTCCAAAACGATTAACTTGTTCCAAGTTTGGTTTCACTCCTGTTTCAGATGTATATATGGAAAGAGCAAAGGTTTGTTTCATCTTTTCTATGTTGTATTTGTGTTCTGCAATTTGTTTAGTCAGTAATCTGAGAAAGATCTAATATATATCTGTATTAGATCTTTCTCAAATCTTTCCAGTGTTGGGATCCAGTACCATCTGGAAAGCAAGAACAGGCACTGGAAATTTTTTACATCATATGAACAATAAAGAGCTCTAATTCCTATGCCTTTATGTCCTTATTTTATACAGTTTATTATTATATAAATGTCTACTAGGACATATCACATTATTAGGACTTATTGTACTGGTGTTCTGTTTTCACAAATATGTCCTAGTAGACATTTATATAACAATAAAGAGCTTTCTTTGAAGTATCAGTAAAACAATAATGCAGCACATATTTTAGACATAAACATTTCATTCAAAGAAAATAATAATAAAACTGACATGCACTACAAACTCTGAGACCAACCAACCTACATTTATCTATACAGTATATATATATAAATGGACGTGTGTGTCCCTATATTTCACTTTTCAGCCAAAACTACACATCGCACACAAATGGTGTTTGTATGTGGTAGTAGCCCCAAGTCTCCATTCGTGCACTATGGTGGTTGTGACTCGATAGCTATAAGGGTGCGGGAGATATGGGGGCTTAAAGTGGTTGACTTCGAAGATTTTCTATTTCAATTTTAAAAATGTTCGAACTGTTTTAAATTCGAATTTGTATTCAAATTCGAATTGGTTCGATTATAGAACAATTGTAAACGTTCCAGAAAATTGATCAAATTGAAAATAGTTCATTTGACTGGATGTAAAAATTCTGTAATTAGTCTGGAAATGGGGGACCTAATTCTTGCATTCTGTGCTATAAGGGTGTGGGAGATATGGAGTTGAAAGTGGTTGACTTCAAAGATGTGTAATAATGGAAGTGTCAACAGTGGAAGTGTCAACAATGGAAGTGTTAATTTAAAGTGGCATGCAAGATTTACAGGCGGTGTTTTGCGTTTTTGTGGGAAATCGAACATATTTTTAGACTCATGTAAAAATTCTCTAATTAGTCTGGAAACGGGGGACGTAATTCTTGCATTCTGTGAAAATGGGTAAGATTGGCTATAATGTAATTATCTTAATCTTCACTGTCGTTACTTTTTGCCCAGTGAAGCGGGTCCTTGCAGCTAGATTCTAGATTACTTAGAAAAACAGTCTTTTATATATAAAAAAAAACTATATTATATACAAATAAAAACCCAGCGAATCAGGTCCTTGCAGCTAGTAATGAATAATTCCAATGACCCATATGCATACAAAATGATGGCATTTAGAGCCCTAACTAAACAGGTATGCACATATTACTGAAACATCCTAAACACACTAAGACAATTAAAATATATTTAGAATATAGTACACACTTGCTAATCTGACTCTTGATAATACATCATCTCAATTATCTGGCCTCTGGCTTTCATGTAAATGAAGTGTGTCACATGGATGGTCATCCAGTGTGATGCCACTTACCAACGTTTAGAAGTGTGGAAAGTGGTTGATGGTTGACTTGGTTTGGTAATTGTCAGTTATGGCTTCAAAAAGAAAACATGTTATGTTAGAACTCACACAGAAATTAGAAATACAGTATTATAGAAGTTAAAGCAAGGTTGTTTCCAAAAGTCCATTGCTATTGAGTACAATGTTGGATGTGCCACTGTTTATAATATAAAAATGAAAGAAAATCAACTTCAACAGTATGCCAGCCAAATGGACACTGAGTTGAGAAAATGAAAAGTTATTCAAAAGGGTAAGAATGATAAACTTGATGCTGCTGTTTGCAAATGTTTCATACAGCATTCACTAAAGGACTAACTATCAGTAGCCTGATAATCAAAGAAAAAGGAGGTGCATTTAACACAGAGAACTTGGCAGCAGTAAACTGTTTACATCAAGCAAGAGCTGGCTATCAAACTGGAAGAAAAGATGTGTGGCAGTTGACAGTCACTGGGGAAAGTTGGTCAGCAAATGAAAAAGATGCAAATGAGCTTAAAAGGAAATTGGAGAACATAATAAAGGAAGAAAAATTAATGCCTGTTGCAGTGTACAATGCTGATGAGATTGGTTTCGCTTTCAGAATGCTTCCTTCAAAAACCCTTGTCAATAATGAAAAGGAAGTTCTTGGGTATCTACACTAATATTATAAAGAGGTAAAGTTTGTAAGTTTGGATGTAGGAGGTAATCTCCGAAACTACTCATCCAATTTCAAAAATTCACCAATATTTCGAATGGACCTTCAGGGTGGACATAGTCTGTATATTATTCTGTTAAACTTCATATAAATTAAAAGATATCATCTAGGTAAGCGTTACATTTTTCATGTCAGTGGGTGGCAAGGGGCAAGATGCCTATGTATACAAGATAGGTAATCGCACGGTGCAGTCGCATGGTTGGCAAGATATGCAGTGCACGTGTCCGAACTTGTACAAAATAAAATTAAAATATATACAAAAAAAATATAAAAAATACAAAAAACACTTTAAAAAATTTTCCCCGACTTTCATGTACATGTTAAAAAAATTAACAATGAAAATTTATGTGATTTTTGAATAAAAATACAGTAGAGCGTCGATTATCCAAAACGTCAATTATCGGAAAGAATTCCAGTCTGCAAATTTAAATTTTCGCCAGTGCTGTGGCGCTGCAATCTTTGACTATGTCTTGGGCTACTCAAATATTTTACGTTTTTGATACTAAATTAACTTCTGAACTATAATTTTTTATTGTTTTTATATTTTTCAATATATTTATTTTGTTTGTACAAAATAAAAAAATAATTTTTAACGATACAATAGTCTTCGTTAGGCTTAACATCGACGAAAATTCAACGCGAAGCGACACGCAACGGAGAAAAATTTCAACACGGGATAAATTAATATATTTTTTCGTACATAAT